TGTTTGAGGGCCATGACACCACAGCCAGCGGCATCTCCTGGATCCTCTATGCCCTGGCCACACACCCTGAGCATCAACAAAGGTGTCGGCAGGAGGTCCAGAGCCTCCTGGGGGATGGCACCTCCATCACCTGGTGAGTGCTCTTGAGATGGGAGAGCCTTGCCCACTCATCTAGAGAATTCCTTGCTTGTCAGAGCCTAGCCTGTCCTTCAGGATAGCTTTGTTTCAGGGACCACCTAGACCAGATGCCCTACACCACCATGTGCATCAAGGAAGCATTGCGACTCTATCCACCAGTTCCAGGCATTGCCAGAGAACTCAGCAAGCCCATCACCTTCCCTGATGGACGCTCCTTACCCAAAGGTATGAACGTCACCACACGTATGCATCAGTGCTCTGCAGGAACATACGAGAGGTCAGAAATCCACATGTCACCGGGTAGTTCTGAATATCTCTGGCCTCCTTTTTTCACCAATAAATAGATGCTTACTCCATAGTTTGGATGAGGATAGAAAATGCCTGACACAGAGCCAGAGCACTGGCAACGTTTCATAAAGGTTAGTTCCTCTTTCTACCAATGGAAAATATTTTCTATTTTGGCTCATTCTCCAAAATAACCTGCAAGGTACATCTCAATTCTAATATTTGAAAGGAATAGAATCCTAAGTTTCTATTCTTATTGATGAAAAACCTTCTATTACTGTGAGATGACACTGGTTTGTGATGCTACACCATTCCCATTGAGGACATTGACATTCTCTGATTTAAAACTATATACTCGAATTAAGTCAGAACTCGTGGACCAATTCTGTCTTCACAGTCACATCTATTTGAATATCCTCCAGATTTACATAATGGGGTTTTTTTTTCTTCCATAGTTTAGTCTCAAGTTGGTTTCCATATAACACCCAGTGCTCCTCCCAACAAGTGCTCTCCTCCATGCCCATCACCCCCCTTCAGATGTACAGAATACTTAGATAACTCCTTTATAACAAAGACAAACTACTATATAGAGGTCAGTTAAAATAATAATGGCACAATGCGTTGTGTTCTCTATTAGGAGGTGTTGGCTTCAGGAGGGGGCTTCAAAATTAGCATAAATCTCCAATATCCAGAGATTGGATGGCTGGAGAGACAATCACACTGGGCCACACAGAGCTGTTTCTCCTTATCTATGGGGTCAAGTCACTGAAGCAGATCAGGGAATGCACCCTCATTATTTTGACAGTCCAGTCTGTGGGAAGCCCTCAGATTGATGGCAGAGAGTACCTGATGATCAGATCTGATAACCCACTCATGTTTGGAGGCCCCCCCTTGGCTTACCACTGACCTGAATTCCAGGCCTGCCATATCCGAGCTATGTGGTTATAAGCAAGTTGCTTAGCTTCTCTGAGGCTCAAAGTGTCTGATATGGACAATAGGGATATGAGTGCCTTCATGGAGGGTTGTTGTGAAGATTGAATGAGTTCATGGATGCTACTTGATAAATGTGAGTTTTCTGTCACTTGAGTTGTGCCAAAAAGTAAGCCTCCTGTTCCTACTTCTCAGCCCAGGTATGGTTATCTATTAATTAGTGCCGAGATGCTTTGCCTTCTCCACCCCACCTCTCTTGCAACAAATCATTCTACTCAGAGTGATAAGCAGACTGGCTGTCAAGTTGTTTGTGCATGCCCTTGGCTCCCTGTGGCATGGGCGTGATCAGTCTTCTCTCTTCTGTCCTACAGGATTCCAAATATTCCTCTCCATTTATGCCCTTCACCACAACCCGAAAGTGTGGCCAAACCCAGAGGTAGGATGGCCTTGGGAGGAGGGGAAGGGATGAGCTCTCCAGACCAATGCATCCTCCTGCCCCACCTCTGGGTGGTCTGTCTGGTGGTTGTTTGATAGGAAGGAGGGACTTGACCACACCTGTCCTGGCCCTGGTGCTCTTTCTGCAGGTGTTTGACCCTTCAAGGTTTGCACCAGGTTCTGCTCGACACAGCCATGCTTTCCTGCCTTTCTCAGGAGGAGCAAGGTGAGTTACTTGTACCGAGATGGGATTGAGGGCCTGTTTACAGGGTACCTACCCGAAGTTTGTGACTTCCTATGTTTATATAGGTGTCTATAGATATGCTGTTGCATATCTGTGTGCTGGGAAAGAGGTGTGTCTGTTTCTATGTACAAAAGAAAGTTGGTAAGCACCACATGACCTGGAGACTTTGACCCTTCACTGATACTTAACCTCCAGCAACAATTCAGGGTCAGTGCCTATCCCAAACTCAATGCATCTGACCTTTGATTCACCGTATGACTTTGGACAAGAGATTTTTTCCCATGTTAATGTTCAACTGCTCTTGATTTCAAAGTCTGGATGGAATCCATAGGTTTCTTTAGTGCTTATTCTCAAACCAGCCTTTCCTGCTCAACTTGTCATTCTGTCCTCACACTGCACCACTGACGTCTTAGCATGTGTTTCCGTTCTAAGTTGCCTTGCATATCTCAAGTATTTAAGTCATACATGAGGATGGTTACTGTAGCCTTCTAAGGGCTTCATGAAGTATTCGACAATTTGTGTCACCGCTATGTTTGCATCTATCCAAAAGAATTTTTGAATCCATGGTAATGTTCAGGTACCAGATAATTTTCCCAGTTGTCACATCAGT